TATTAACATGTAACGATTTTTGTTTACAAAGCTTTTTGTGTTATAAGTAACAATTAAGGGTAAGTATATTTTCACAAAGACGGAAATTTGTTTCAAGACGATACTTAATAATAAATAATTATAGATAAAGTCACAACTTTACATAGTAAGTTTTCTTACGTAAAGACTAATTAATCCTTTAGTCATTTCAGTTAGCGCTTATTCAGCCGAAAATTCAATCGACAATTTTTTTTTATTCCTTTGTTAATCCTTTAAAGTGCTAACTGTGTGTTTTTTCATTGTCATTCGATAATCTTGCAAGTGACTAGGTCCTAATCATTGTCTATCGTAGGCATCGCCAACATTGCAACCGGTCGAGGGTTGCATCTCGTTATCATCTTCATTCCAGTAGCCAGTCTCCCGGTTACAATTATACCAAAATTGACCAAACGTATAGCTAAACCTGCGGACGGAATAAGAGCTATGCTTGAGATTAAAACATTCTTAAATCTGAATACAAAAAAATTCATATAAGCAATTTCAGTGTTTCATGTAAGTACCAGAGTACTGAGCTCCTGGTCTCGTTATACACTAGGGAATAACAGTCCACAAATAGAGGTATTGACTCAGTAGTGATAACATTAAGCGATGCCAATTTAACTGCACTAGCTGCACACGTTTACTTTACACGTTCTTTATAATGTTAAGTTAACTATTCTTATGAAGGACTTTTAAATACACGACCATAAATTACATTTAAGCGACCTTAATTTGAATTTTAATCCATATAATTATATCCTCAAATTCCCTCTTTTACATTGATTCTATTTTTAAAGTAAATATTTTTTTTTCTCTTATTAGTAAAATTACTGGAAATTTGTTCATGTCCATTAAGTGAGTTTTCCCTTATTTGAGCGCATAGTTCCGCTTATGTAACATAACACGTTAAACTGTAAATAATTCATGGCAACCAATTAAGTCATAGTCAATAAACCTTTCATTACGATGATTGTGTATCATATCCAACCGTAACAAATGCAGTTGTATTAATATTTGTGATGCTATCATACGTTGATATAGGTCATATAGTGCTAATAATATTTATCTGATTAGTAAAGTTAATAAAGCCATGTTTGAAGTTTTGAAGATGGATCGTTTACTTAACGTGACAGTTGACATGGTTTATAACAAACCTATCTAAAATTGTCCGTTTATAAAATTTGAAATTATAAAGAAACTAATTTAAGGTTTCAATTCCCTGATTTGACCTGAGATTGATTTGGGTTTTTTTTTAATGTCCTTTTTGGTCATATAGCTCTTCAACTGTTTCGGTTCTTATACATCATTGGCTTTCAAATATTCGGTTTTGAACGTTCTTGATGAAGGTAAATCCAGAAAAGCGCGTCGGACGCATGACATTTATAACATGTTGTTTTCATTTTTTAAATGTCAGTACTTCTCCTTTACCTAGATAACCTGCATAGCGTCTTTGACGCATTGTCGCAGGCTTGATGATGCATGCTTACCGGGAAAAAAATGAATTAAAATTCAAACAGGAGTATGTACAAATGAAACCTATATATATATACATTAAGTGGAGTGTTGCATGGAGGCTGTTCTTCAAAACATCTACTATTGATACTGGTATCTCATTCCACAAACTTATAGTTGTTTGGAAGAAGAATTATTAGTGACAATTGAATCCTGGAATACGGGAATTGGCATCATTGGTCATTGCCTCTGACGGTTGGGGTTACTTCTTGTGGAATAAATTATCGTTGGTTTGGTATAGCCATTACCTGATTAAATATTCTATAGAACATGATGGCTTTAGCTTTTCTTTTTTTCTACTCAAATTTAAATCTTCAAAGTGCTGAGGCATGGATGATTCTGTAGTTACTAATGACAAATGTTAATATTTGGATGAAATGTCGTTGGCTTCCAATTAAAGTATGAAATTGCTATGCATAACGTGCTCCGTTATTCTACAGCTAATAGATGCAATTAAGTCATAGTCAATAAACCTTTCATTACGATGATTGTGTATTATATCTAATAGATGCAAATGAGACAGGTCTATAGTTTAAAGTTTTCCCTCTATCTCTTTCATTGAATTGTGGGATAACGCCTGCCTTTAACCACTTGTCAGGTATTTTGACTTTGTGTGAAGATGTGTGAAGAGGCGTAGATTATTAATGATAGACCTGGTGTTATTTCTGTTGACAATTCCTTAAGGAGTCTTCCTGTGATGGAATAAGGGCCTGTTGCTTTGCTGGGGTGATGTTACGTCAAAGCATCAACACTCCTGTATTGGTAACAAATTAACAATTATATCTGGTAAAGATGAACGAGGACTGTTTCCTTTTGATGGACTATTACCTGGTAACTCGTGATAAAATACCGATGTGAACCGATCATTTAGGATGTTGGCTTTAGTGTTATTGTACCTTCTTTACGTAGAGATGCCATTCTTGTTGTCTCTATTCTTTCATTTTTAATGAAGCTCCAAATTGCTTAAGATTGTTACTACAAAAATGTATTCTAATCTAGCATACTGGATATATACACGACGGGTGCCACATGTGGAGCAGGATCTGCTTACCCTTCCGGAACACCTGAGATAACCCCCAGTTTTTGGTGGGGTTCGTGTTGCTTAGTCTTTAGTTTTCTATGTTGTGTCATCTGTACTATTATTTGTCTATTTTTATTTTTATTTTTGGCCATAGCGTTGTCAGTTTGTTTTCGATCTATGAGTTTGACTGTCCCTCTGGTATCTTTCGTCCCTCTTTTAGTATAGTTGTTATATGTTTATTTGTAATCTCTTTTGGGCTTATTTAGTTATGGATTTGACTCTACTCAAGTCTCTTTGATTTTACCTTTAGGAAGTTGTTTATTTTCCTCTTTTACCCTACGAATGACTATATATTGTACTGGTAATTTGGATGGAGTATGCTTGTACATAAATTTTGTGCATTTGTTTTCCAATTTTGTCCATTGTGCGTTTATATAAATGTCAGTATTGTGTTGTTAAAGTGTGTAGTAAATACTTCCATTTCTTGTTTAAGCTGCTAAATTTCGTTTTTCTTTTCTCTTAGAATTTATCTTGCGTCCAACTGGTCTTTGTTTGTTTTTACACTAGATTGTATGTTTTGTATGGTATCATGGGAAACTTATATCACATCAATAAACTCATCATAGATACAAGGAATCGACTCGTGCATTTCGTCTACAAGAGACTCATCGGTGATGCTCGAATCAAAAAAGTTAAAAAGGCCAAATAAAGTACGAAGTTGAAGAGCATTGAAGACCCAAAATTCCGAAAAGTTTTGCCAAATATAGCTAAGGTTATCTATTCACGATGTTTTGTTGCTTACATCCATTTCCTTTGGTTGTGTTGGATAGTTATCTCATTGGCAATACTATTACATATATTGTATCAGAAAATAAAAATCATAAGAATTTGTAGATTTCTTTTCTAAGTAAAAAAAATTAACATGAGAGATAATAAAAATGTAACAGTGTTGAAATATTATGGAGTACATGGTTTTTTTTTTAAATATTTACCTTTGATTGGTATACAATGCAACAATGATTGATGGTCATCATCTCATCGAAAGGCTCCTCTGTCACAAGTAATTTTAAACTGTTACAGTAAGTCACAAAGTCCTACCTTTTTATGAATATTACAGTGCAGAATGTATCTCTCCATTGGTTTAAAGCCGCAAAGTATGCATAGAGAATGATACAGAAAGCTCGACGTAAAATTAGCAGTAAACTAAACTGGTTAAGTATTTATTGGAAGCTGACGTACTATCCAAATGCATCTAAATACAAGGTTAGATGAGTCATCAAAAAAAGCATTTCTAAACAACATGGATGTAAGCATGAATGCTGGAATTTCTCGCTGCGCTGAAGACCCATTGGTGGCCTTGGACTGTTTTTGCTCTGTGGTCGGATTTTTGTCTCTTTGACACATTCCCCGTTTCCATTCTCTAGTCTATGAAATATGGGTCAGTGTGACCTACTTTTGCTTACTCTAAAAGATGCATGTTTACGAACTGTTAAATAATCCCCTAACTTAAAGGTACAGAGAAATAAAATCGAACATTGAAATTAGCCATGAATATTGAGGCATAAAATGTTGACCTACATCTGACCTGCTGCCAACTTCTTATCTTTTACAAGATACATATTTATAGTCACAGGAATATCTACTCAAACGTAAATCTAAAATCAACGAAGCGTGAAATGTATGTCATATTGACCCATGATTTATTCTTCTTTTGGTGACTCATTCCTTAATATACATATGTTGCATCTTATAACTTATACTCAAGTTGATACTTAGTCGGACGTTATCTTTAAATCGAAGAAGCGTGAAATGTGTGGTATCCTCGAACTAGTACTGCCAAAATGCTGACTACACTCAAAGTACACGTACATTACAAAAGGTTATATTATCCTGAAATTTATAGAAACTGCAATATAAACTGCTACCTAGAACTTATGATGAAATGTAGGTCGTAGTGACCTGCGTTTACCTGGTTGCTGGTCGACTAGCAAATATACATATTTACATATTAAGATTATATTATTATTTATTGTCACAGAGATTTAAATTCAGACGGAAAACTTCATAGAAATCGTCTAATAATGAATTATTAGTCATAACAAACATATTGCCATTAGTCACAACCTTGATCTTGTCGCACATAGATGCACAAAACGACACCGCAGCTAAACTGGATGAATAATATATTCGTTTTCATCTAACTGAATTAGGTTTCTTGTCAGTGGCTTGCATAGCAAAAAATATAAAATATATATAACCTGCCTTGTACTATAGACAGATTCATTTTCATTTCATCTTAATTTTATATCAATCAATTTATGATCATAGCCTGAATGTATTATATATTGCTCTGTAAGGCGTAAAACATAAAAACCAATCATTCATTGATATAAAAGAAATGTAAGAACAGTACGACTGATTAAGTAAACTTCATTCTTTTCCTTTATAGATAATAGGTGGCGTGACTGTATATGGAAGACTACGAACGACTGGTAATGTATTCATTGTGAATTTGGCCGTGGCAGATTTAGTAGTGGTGACTATTGTTCAACCATTTAATGTAATAGGTAATTACATCAATACATATATTTTAATCTAATAAAGTGATGTTGATCTACAATGATCTGATTTTTGTTTTACCTACACAATTTATGTTTTGGTTTGTTGATATTTCATGATTGATAAACACTTATAAGAACACCCCCCCCCCCCCCCTTTTGTGTTACCTACTATATCAGAATATTAAAGAGATAAAAAATGCATTTTTTCCCCATTTTTAGTTCTAGTCTTACATAACGCAATTGAATGCAAAATTTTATACAAATCTGTGTCATAACTCATTTACTGTACCTTGACCTTCAATACGAGTAGATATTTATGCTAAATGCAAACCAGTCACATTAAATCATTCCTGAAGCTCAATACCTAATCATCCTTTGCGTTCAAAATCATAAGATTTATCTTTCCATTAAAAATCATTCATTATTACCCAACAATCATTAAAAACAACCGTACAGGAGATAATTCAGAGTCGTTTGTCCTTAGTTGACCGTCATATTTTCTAAAGTATATTGTCACCATGTTAATAAAAGCATATCTTTCGTTGTTGAAAAACTAATTTAAGATCTTAATATTGATTCAACAAAGCTAATCTCATGTATGATTAGATGCAGACAATAACTATGTTGGTAAATGTTTTGTTTTCAGACGATTCTGTTGATTACCAGGTGTAAAGGCAGAATGGAAAAATACATTTAATCTCATAGACTTATCTATTTGATAAGTAGTTTATGTATCCGAAATAATTAGCAGCAATATGGTATTTTATGACTTCTTTGCTCATTGTTGAAGGCCGTACGGTGACCTATAGTTGTAAATTTCTGTGTCATTTGGTCTCTTGTGGAGAGTTGTCTCGGCAATCATACCACATCTTCTTTTTTATATTAACTACACTTTTTCGTATCATTGGAAAATTGCAATGATATGGAACACTATTAATTAGGAACTTATTCCAATAGTGAAGAATTTATATATCAGCATTTTATTGATTTCGGATATATCGGAATAAGTTTTCCTGACACTAGTATTCCAATCTTCCTCAAAACTTTTCAGTATTTATGACAAAACGTCATCGAGAGCAACCATATTATCTTAAACCTAGTCAATTATATAAAAAAAAAAAATGAAAATCAAGCTCAGTAAACATAACCTTCAACTGTAGATTCCAATTTTGAAAAAAAAATAAATAATAATGTTGTAATTTATTTTGGACTTCCAAGTCACTTCTACATTCCACTGGATATGAAACACCGGGATCTAACGAATATCTCCAATTACCACAGCATTGGGTCAATAGTGGACAACTTTATTAAACTCAGCCATTAAGATAAGAACTGATTAGCAGTTTAACTATTTCAGTTGAACTTTGTGAATTTTAAATAGCCTATTTTTAATCGACTTCAACATCTCATTAAACAGAGCTTTTTCTATAAAAATGGGAATCGTAGATATAAATTTCTTGTTTTGGGTTATAATAATTCTTATTTTGTGAAGAACCACACTGATTCTATCAGAAATTTACCACATGCTGGACTTTTTGATCGACACTATTCTTGTTGAGTTTGGAGGGTTGATATTTCAGTCGATATTCCAATGGGAACTAATTGTGCACCCCTACTGGCCGATTGTTTTTGTACTCGTATGAAGCAGAATTCATTTATAACCTTCTAAAAGACAAAAAGAAAAAGCACCTTCCGAAATTCTTTATTTTACTATCAGATATATTGATGATGTCCTATTACAAAATAACCCATAAATCAGTCAGTACTTGCATCTCATATATCCCAGTGAACTTGAAATTAAGCATACTACTGATGCAAGAAGGACTGCTTCATATCTTGATCTTTTCCTCAATATTGACACAGATGGACGACTTCAGACTAAAGTCTATGAAAAACGGGATGATTTCAACTTCCCAATTATCAATTTTCCATTTCTCCGTCGTATAGTATTTACATATCTCAATTGATACGTTATGCTCGTGCATGTTCACACTATACGGACTTCATATACAGGAATGTGCTCCTTACGCAGAAACTGTTCCAACAGAGTTATGAGGAGGAAAGATTAAAAATGACGCTCCGTAAATTTTATTGACACCATCACGAATTGGTTGATCTATTCGATGTGTCTGTGTCTAAACTAACTAACGACATTTTTACCACGTCTTAGATTGTGGTTTACCATCTACGTCGTCTGGTCTGCTTAGTACCAAACGTTACCTATTCCCGAATATGACTGTTTTGCCGAGTGTGAATTCGCATTGCTATACGACGTGTCTCGGTATTTATATATCCAACAGTCATGTATTTAGTTATGATGTTTGTAAGTCCAGGTAGGATATTTTGATATGTCTTATGTTCGCTGTTGGAGACGACGTGGTTTGGTATTTATATATCCCGCTTTCGGGTATTTAGTTGTTACTTTCTTACACGTGTGGGTCTGGTGGGTCATTTTGTGCTGAGTTGTTGTCTGTTTATTTCGTTTGTGGTTTGAATTCTGTATTTTCGGTACATATGTTTATTTGTCAGTATAGTCAAGTTACTCGTGGTTCGTCTACAGGGTTTTGTTTTATGTTGTTTGTTTTCATTTGTGTTTACTGTTTGGTCTTACATGATCTTGCCTTATATTACAGTTATTTTATTTTTATTTTTATTTTCTACATGTATGTAAAAGTTAAGATTTAAAATCAGCTACTTCATTTGTATGATTTTAAGTTTAAAACAACTATATGCACAGGATTTTTTTGTTTATACACTGTTTTGATTGAGAAGAAAAACCAACATGGTTAGAAAATACAAATAATAACACCATTACAAACACAATTCCATTTTAATATTCTTGTCATGGTTGGAAATTACATAAAATAACACCATTACAAACTCAATCCCAATTTAATATTCTTGTACGTGTCTATACAAAAAATAAATCTATTTTATTTTTAGAAATTTACCTGTGATAATATGAACGTCACAAAAAATACGTCACTTTTTGTGACGTTGATCCATTCATGAGACGCGCAGTTTATATTTCGTTTGTGGTGTCCTTGTGTGCTGTCGTAAATTCATGGGAGGTGTCCGTTGTTATTCTGCGGTTTATATGTTTTAATGTACTATTATATGTTTTTATTTATGTATTTCTCTGTGCTGAGTGTTCTTGTGTTTGTTTGTACTGTATTCCTGTCACGTAGTGTTGTCATTTTAGCTGGGTTTTTTTAAACATTGCCATATAAGCGGGAGGTTTAGCCATAAAACCAGGTTCAACCCACCATTTTTTCTTAAAATGTCCTGTACCAAGTCAGGAATATGGCAGTTGTTATCATACAGTCCGTTTCTATGTATGTTGGCGTTTGCTTTTGTTGTAGTTCAGTGTTTCTGTTGTTCCGTTGTTTTCCTCTTATAGTTCATGTGTTTCCCTCGGTTTTAGTTTGTTACCCGGATTTGTTTTTGCTTTATCGAATTATGACTATTGAACAGCGGTATACTACTGCTGGCTTTATTTATTGTGGTCTTAAAGTAAACGAAACTGGCCATTACATAATTAATCGTCCTTTGAAACAAACCTAACCAATCATGAAATGTAGACCATTTAAGATTCAGATATTGCTAGGTATCCTATATGTTGTTCAAAAGAAGAAAAAGAGGTAACATATAACTGAAAAAACACGCGGCTATAGGTTTACATGAGCTTAACGCAAAACCTTCACCAATTATAACTCAAACATGGAATTCGGGATAGTGACTTGAAATTTAGACTTTTGTCACGATTATTTCAGCATTATAAATGATCAGTTTTAATTGTTGAACTTTTTATGAAAATGTTTCTGTAATATAATAAAGTTATGTTGATGGATGGATTGGTTGTCTATAGAAAAGGTGTGTTACACATTTGTCAAATTAAAAAAATTTTTTTACGAGGAATGGCTTGATGCTTTACTAGTATTGATTAATGACTGCTTAATGTCAAGCGGAAAAAACAAAAAATGCATTTTCATGACAAACTTTATTAATGAGATAACAATTCCCTCCTATTCATTATAACGGCTGATTCTAAATGTGAGGTAAGTTTCCATAGGAACAAATAACAACATACTCGGACACATTATTCTTACTATCCACCGACCAAATTTGGCTCTTACTCCTAAAAGTCGCGAGCTTTAAAGAGAATCATGACATACCAAGTCTTTAGTTTGACCAAGCCGTGAATTGGGTCTACAACATCTCAAGGTGAGCACGAGACCATGGAGTGGGATGAAATGACTGGAAAAAAACAGGGACACGTTTTTGGACGACCAATATTGGTAAATATATGTCCAACACATTTTTGCCATGTTATAATAAATCTTTTTCATTTGTATTTAAAGGAATAATCCTTGGACCTGAATTTTTCCACGGAAAGCTTGAAGCACTTTGTCATATGGTTGCGACAGTATGTGTAATGAGTTGTGCAGGTTCCATGATAACACTAGCATCAGTTGCTCTAAATCGGTGAGTATCTCTCAAAATAGGATCTGAGAAACGATAAGCATCAAAGAAATGTTATTGCGGGCATCATGAAAGTAAAATAATGTTATCTTTATTTTTGGTGAAAAGTATTATAGTTTGCAACTGTAAAATCTTTTTTCGTATTTTATATTGTTATTTTATTTAGGTTAAGTCGATTGTTTCAATAATGTCATCAATTTCAAATCCTAAAATGAATCTTGAATTTTTATATATACCTGAAAAGTATTCACAGAAATAAAAGAATTTCTTTTTTTTAAATACAGAATAATACCTCAATAACCATACTGACTGATCCTTTTTCTTTAAAATTATAGTCTCAATTTTTTTTTCAAACTATACAGTTAAAAAAAAGAATAACAAAAATACTGAACTCCAAGGTAAATTTAAAAAAGGGAAGTTCATAATAACTGACAAAATCAAAAGTTATCAATCAATATAACGAGTGAAAAAACAACTGTCATATTCCTGACTTGGTTGAGGCATTTTCAGAAGTAAATTCGATATTGATATTGTTCTATTAAGAAGAATTAAATGGTCATAATCGTTTTAAAGATGCATATCTTTTTTGTTAGATAAGGATTCAGGAATCATATTCATATAAATTATATATTTACAGATACATTTTCGTGTGTAAAAACATTAAGTATCAATCCATTTATTCGAAGAAAAAGATTGCGGTATACATTGTTTTCATTTGGTTGCTAGTGAGTTTGATTGATTTACCCAACTATCTTAGATGGGGTGGTCATACGTTCGACTACAAAACAATGAGCTGCGTCTTTGATAGAAACTTTCTACCATATACTATGTTCCTCAGCACCCTTATTTATTGGATTCCTCTAGCTCTTGTTTTCTACTGCTACATTTCGATATACCTTTACGTTCGAAAGCATCGAAAGGCGTTTCGAAAACAAATGAGCAGATGCGAATCGATTAATGAGGATATTATTTTAGCCAGGCAACAGCAGGACATCCGAATGATACGGACGTTTGTTCTGGTAGTTATTATATTCATTCTTTGCTGGGTTCCTTACTTCGTCCTCGTTCTCTTCGACAGAGATGAGAAGATATCGAAAGCCGTCTATGCTTTCTCACTTGGTGTTGGTCATTGCAACAGTTCCGTCAACAGCATACTGTATGGAGCAACCAATAGAAGATTCCGAAAAGGTTATAAAATGTTCGTTGTCAACTACTGTTGTATGTGTTTCAACAAGAAAACGCCGAAAGAAACTGAGAGAAAATTGTGGTATGTCAGCAAATCAAGTTCAATTTACGATGAAGACAAACCAAACACAAATAGTTCATCTTTGCCAAGTCAGTAGATAACAACACAGAAAAAGCAAAGGATTTGAAAAAGACAAAGATGAACTGAATAAAACAGCACATTGCATTTATATATTGTAGAGCTATATTGATGTTTATTTTTATGTTTGTACATGATGTGTTTTTGATTTAAGTGCATTTATTGCTTGCGCTATTGCTATTGTATCTCTATCATTTTGATCACGGGATAGACATATGAGTATTTAGAAATTTAATTAAGGTAGAATATAAGATAATTCTGTAATTGAAATGGTGAGTCACAACTATTCGAAATATATGTGAATACGACTGATAAAATATCAAATACGTTCTCTTCAAATAATTTCAATATTTTAGTAATACGCATTACTTGTATAAACATAACTTTTTGTTCGTTGTTGCATTATTTCACATAAGTTTGCCTGTATCCGTGCGGTATCCGTGAGTCTGTCTATGTTGTTCTATTATGTCGTTCGGTTGATTCTCTCGCGAGTTTTATTATCTTTTCATTGCTACAGATAATATAGATATAGTTAATATTAATGGACCATTGCTTGACAAGGGAATTAGAAATTGAAATTCTTGGAAATTAGAAATATTGTAGTTATTGATTTTTTCTGTATTTTTGTCAACTACTTCTACAGACTCGGGACGATTTAGAGCTTGTCATATTATATCGACATATGCCTATTTTTTAAGAAGATTATGTTGCATTTGAGATGTCTTTGATCATCTTTGTCGTTGTATTGTTGTCACATTGACTTATCGAGGTATATTGACCCATTATATACTTCAAGGAAACTTTCTGAAAAGTAAATACTCGAACACCATTGGTTTGTTTATGAACCTTAAGAATTTTCCCTAAAATTGAAAAAAAACCCTTTGTTTTTTAAATAGACGTGTTAGGAAAGTCAATACGAATCTGGCGCTGATATTAGATACCAATAATACTACAGGCTATGGTGGCGACCATCTCAAAATTCCAGATTATCCTTCATTATAGTTACCTGTGTGGATGTGATTGATACTGCGGAGATGATGATAATTTATTCCACAATACATAGAAGAGGACCATGCAAAACAACACGATCATTTTTCATATATATATTAATATTTTTGTCATAAAATTGCATTGTTTTATAGTATTTAAGATCGTTGTTCCCTCCTGTTCTTACTATTTTGTTGAACGACTATAAGGGAAATCTGCAAAATGATAAAATAAAGGAATAAAAAAGCTACTGCAATCAAATCACACCAAAATCCGATGTTTTACTTTACATCAATCTTTTATGTTTAAAATGTGCTTTTATTTGAATTTTTTTAAATGTGATTTGTGTTTGTTTATTCCATATTGGCTCGATGTATTAGGGGGTGGGGAGGTTGAGATCTCACAATACACGTTTAGCTGACTACATGCGGTATGGGTTTTGCTCATTGTTGAAGGACGTACGGTGACCTATAGTTGTTATAACTTCTTTGTCACTTGGTCTCTGGTGGAGAGTTGTCTCATTGAAAGTCATACCAAGTCTTCTTATTTTATAGTAAACATAGTTGTTTAGGGGCCAGATGAAGCCCGCAACCGGGTGCGGGATATTTTGGCTGCGTTGAAGACCCATTTATGGCTTTATGCTGTGATTTGCTCTTTGGTCGGATTTGTCTCTTTGACACATTTCCCGTTTCTATTCTCTATTTTGTTTTCATATCGAGGCCTGTTATAGTTTTCTTATGTAGTATGTGTTTTGCTCCATGTTGAAGATAATACGGTGACCTTTAGTTGGAAACAATGTTTCTCTCCTCGCTCTGATAACGACTTCTATCATAACTGTTCATTCAATACAAATTGTTAACCATGTTTTCAAGAAACTTCGTCGTCCGTCAGTGGAGTCGTATATAATAAATCTGAAAGCGGAATTAAAGAAGTACTATAGCTGCAAAATATGGTTCCAATATCCGGTGTTAGATTTTTTTCACCCTTCAGGGAAGACATATTGTTTTGTCCTATTCAATTTTATTATCATTATTTTCGTTTTATCTAGGAATGCCATTATGGTAATTTAATATTATTCCGAAGGGGGACAATACCTGCAAAATCCCTTTAAAATGTGTGAATTCACATACGGGTACTATTAAAGCAAAGTGTTAAAGGAGTAGGTTCAGTAAGACCCCTTTTTGGCCCCAAAATATAGAGTTTTACAAAATAGTTAAAAAGTAAACTTTTAGCTATTTATTGGAAAGTAGAATACTTCTGTTTCATAAATATGGGCTGTTTTTGACAATAGAATGCACATGTATCGGGAACTAGCATCATTAAATCATGCTGAATTACTGAAATCTTCACATTTTTAGCATTTGAGTTAATTTTTAGACGGTTTCCGTCTTAAATGGACGTGGCCGCATTTGTGTTCATTCTTAATATTTAAATGTAAGTTGTATTTGATGATAATACATAACATATATAAAGGTTGAGGATGAACACGGATGCGGCCACTTTCATTTTTGACAAAAACCATCTGAAAAGTGACATCTTATGGCATATTTGATAGATTTTTAATATTTAAGCTTGGAATTGAGGGTCTTTAATGACTAAATCAGTTCAAATCTTTCACATAAATTAATTGAATGTACTAAAGTAGACACTTAAGTGTTTAAAAAGTGTCCAAAGTCTTTCATCAAATGAACCTGAAATTTGGGGCCAAAATCGGCCCTTACCGGACCTACTCCTTTACGTTTCGGTGAACGGTCGGTAGTTTTTTTCTTGACATCACGGCTTCCTCCACCAACAAAACAGAACACCGCGATTTATCTTGACATGTTGAAAGATGTTGTTGAAAATATCGTTAAGCAGAAGTTAATTTTATTGCCTTTGTGTCAGGAGGCTATTTTGAAAACGGAATATTCCTTTTCACCTGTTGTATGGCCTGCTTAATTATGTGCTGGGCAATTTTTTTTTCGATTTCATTCATTTTGTTTTGTCAAATATTCATTATGCTTTCCGCTTTATAGATAGGAAGGTATATAGTAATAGGTGGAGGGTTCATCCGTTCGTTCTTTCGTTCGTTCGTCAGTCTGTCCATTTTTGTATCTGATCCATGAACCTCTCGACAGAATTTTGTGAAACTTTCACAGAACCTTACTCACGTGATGTAATTGTCATGGGACATCGTTATATTTTCACACTAAAGTATAATTTTATATCTGTGAAGCACTGTAGGGTTCATACAGATAAAGAGTTGTGTTTTTTAAAGTCAAGCGCTGGAGATGTAAAGTTTAGCGCTGTAGATATAAAGTCAAGCGCTGAAGATGCAGAATGCAGCGCTGCAAATATAAAGTATAGCGCTTGAGATGCAAAGTTTAGCGCTGTAGATATAAAGTCCCGCGCTGGAGATATAAAGTCCAGTGCTTGAGATTTATAAACCGGCGTTGGAGATGTAAAGTTCGGCTCCAAAGATGTAACTGTTATGCCATATAGGAGACACCAATTAAGAAAAATCCACGAAAGGAAAAAAATTCAAAAAACTAGATAGAAGAATTTCAGAGTGTTGAGTTTTATAGAACACACCATCAGACGTTTAAAACATTAAAGGTTATCGGAACTTTATGGAGACATTCAAGACACGAATTAAATCAAATTGTTTAATGTGTGCTGGACTTGTAGAGAGACAAACTGAATTATTTGCCTATTAAACATATAATATCATATTCATATCAGTCATTGTGCACTCCTAAATCAATCAAATACAAATATTAATATCTATGAAATATCCGTACATGTCTTTAAATTTGGAGTCCACATTAACTGCTACGCCTGGATACTTTTCAATGCAATTGTATTTTGAGAAGGTCCACACTTAAATCTTGTATCGGTATTGTTATTTAACACCAGCGCAGTATTTAAATCCCTTTCCTAACACGTCTAATAAGAATGGCTAAAGTGGATTCAACTCACGGACTTGTTCCTTTCTTCGTATGAGACATAGTCAAACCAAACATGAGCTTCTAAAAATAATTGATAGAAGCTTTCATTATCTCTTTACGTAACGTCTATATAGATGAATCAGCAGATACAGTTCAGTCTGCTTAAAATATTAACTGAAACTTGGCCTTAAATCTAGGACAACAAAATAACGTCAATTTTCCAACCGCGAACTTTGTGACTTTCCATCGGTTTTTGGCACGACAAGAACAACACGATGGAATCAAATAATGTTTTAAATTGCCCATTCGGATATTTTACTATTTTAACATATCAAAATAAGTGAATAAGAACAGCCAATTTCATTGTACTGTTACTTTCAAAGGCTGAATACTTTGTAAATTATATTACGAATAGACATACGAGATGGCAACTTAAATGGTTGTTTACTAATAATGCATTTGACCCAGATATTGTAATTACAACTGTGTACTCAATGCTCTACAACATCGTACTTTATTTGGCCTTTCCAAGTTTTTTTTTATTCGAGCGTCACTGGTGAGTCTTCTGAAGACGAAACGCGCGTCTGGCGTACAACATTTTTAATCCTGGTATATATGATGAGTTTATTTACTTACCACCTAGCGGTTGCATTGTGACTTACCTCTTAAAGTTTCAGAGTACAAAAGACAAAATCACAAATTATAAATTTCAACATTTTGAAATAATTATATATGTAAGTTGATGTATCAGTTATTTTACTAATAAAGCTTACAAATTCTACCTATCTTGTTAATGTTCCAAATGATCCTTAAATTTTAAGCAGGCAAATTGCTAACAGTTTCCAGTGTCGGCGTTTTGAACGATCCTTAATGTTGATAATGAGTGACAACTCACGTAAGCGTTTATTAAAGTTGTCAGTCGATAACAGTTCGAAATGCAATACCAACTTCAAAATGTGGACTCTTGTATCATTCTGATTCTGTCATCATAAATGACTCGCTAAAGCTAAACTGGTTATACCCTCGGGGACTCACAACCTATAAGCACAGGTATCAACTCATTGGCTAAATAACATTAACGGTACCAATATGAGCATATCAACAATTTAAATTGTCCCTTCAGTGATACTCGAGGTCAAAAACTTGAAATTAAACTAATACAAACGTTCAGGAGCTTATAACACCAAACAGGACCAAAAGTAT